TGGTCATGCCACGCAACTCACCACGAAGTCTCCAACAATAATCCTACTCAGCTCAAGGATACCGTGAATACCATTCTCAAAACCTGCACAAAATATGCAGAAGTATATTATGAGTACAAATTACAATACACAATAGGTATCAATTCTAGCCTCGAAGAAATAGTGGCGAGAGGACGACTCTGACACCTACTGACAACTCAATAAGCATATAAATCATGAATAGAGCATGAAATAAAGCATGGTATCATCAATCAAGTCTGTCAATAGAATCACAGTAAACTAGAGGTAAGACATGCTTTTCAGGAATATCAGTCAAGACATTAACCTTTCAACAGAAATCACTTAGAATATCAAGGTAAATTGTGATTTCACGTACTAAACATGAAGTAGAGACATCAATACCAATTAGCATGAGAAAAATACAACTTTATGCCTCCATGTTAATTACACATGCCCAAGTAAACAAGATCACAATTTAAATCATCAAATAAATACAATATTAGCACATACATAGTGCTTGACACAAACACACACACATACTCTCAGCACGGTCTTGGAGCCTAGCTCAAAACCCTTGAATTATCACACACACACACTTAGCACTATACGAGTGCCTTGCATAAGCCCCTCACTAAGCACATAATCAAGTGCCTACACTCACAGGGCCCAATGTAGCATGGGTTATCACCTACCTCCTGATAAACAGTACCAATCCAAGTATCGTGGTGGTGTGCCACCCGATCCACATATAATAACGTTGCAACCTAACACTCGATCCATAATTATTTCCATGATTGCGCACCACCCGATCCACATATGTACCCGTGGCAGTGTGCCACCCGATCCACACACATACTCGTGGTGACATACCACCCGATCCACACAATATCATTAATAACCAATATCTGCTCATAATATCTGTGGTGCCAAAATTCTCATCTTCTCACAATATTCCATCGTCAAACTCATATATATATAAGGCAACATTTAAAAAAAGCACCAAGTCATAATAATAAAAATGCAGATAGAGAACATAAGTCTATGGCTAATCATGTAATTCAATTTATCTCAATAATTAAATAAGTAATTTTATCGTTCAAAACGTCTTATCTTAATATTTATCTTGAATGAGATAAGCCATTTAATCACCGAATCGTGAATCAACAAAACAATTATGTGACTAAAAATTTGAAAAAAAGCTCCAAAATTTTACGGCCAAACGGGAGCTTACATCCACCCAGCAAGCTTTAATCAACAACAATTTGTGTTCCCTTTCAACTCCAATTCCAAACGACTCGAAACTAGTTAAGTAAAACTCAATGTCATCAAACAAAGCCATAAGAATCAATTCCAAATAATAAAGTGTCAATCTTTAGTCGAATCTCCAAAAGTCAACACAAGCCTACACGGCCAAAATCCGAGTCAAAGGGTAGATCCCGACTATTTATAATTCCACAAATCCAAATATATTATTAGATTCTAAAATTGGGTCCAAATCAGCCCCTAATTTCCAAATTACACCCTCTTAAATGTAAACAAAAACCCAAAATTTCACTCTAAAATTCCAAGTTATAGGTGTAGAAATCCATGGGGAATCAAGTTAGATAACCAAATCCAAGTGAAAATTATTTTTCTCCAATGTAGTAGTGAATTTGCTCTTCAAAATCTCCTCATCTCGAAATCTAGTGCTCAAAATATGAAATAATGGGCAAAGTCCCAAATTGGACAACTTAAATCACTGCTAGATAATACACTTCGCGATCACGGCCTTACTCATGCGATCCCAATGAACAAATAAACATTGCCTCCTAAATCCTTCTACGCGAATGCAGCATAGACCACGTGAACGCGAAGAACAAACGCCTTCCTGCCAAATCCTTCTCCGCGATCGCGAGTCTAGCTCTGCGATTGTGGAGCAATGCAGCACACCAGCAACACAACAGTCCCAAACTCAACCAAAATGGTCCAAAACTACCTGGATCACACCCGAGCCCCTCGTGGCCCCATCCAATTATACCAATAAGTCCAAATACATTATCCAAACTTATTCAAAGACCCAAAACACAGTAAATAATATCAAAACTAAGAATCGACGATTAAAAAAATCTTTCTCTTAAGTTTCAAACATTCCAACTTTACCAAACTCGTCTGAATCACACTTAGACATACCGGATCACAACCAAACCTTGCATACAAGTCCCAATCAACCAAATGAACCTATCCGAAGTCCCAAACGCCAATCGAAGCCTGATAACACTAAAGTCAACTCCCGATGAAACTTTTAAATTTTTCAATTCTTTAAATTGTTGTCAACTTTCGATAAATATGGCTAAAACCTTCTAGGAACATCCAAATTCAAATCCGAACATACGCCCAAGTCCAAAATTTCCACACGAACCTATTAAAACTATCAAATCCCTATTCTAAGGTCGTTACTCAAAAGTCAAACCTTGGTCAACTCTTCCAACTTAAAGCTTTAAAATTGAGAATTACCCTTCCAAATCAATTCTAAACCTCTCGAATATCGAAATCAACCATACACGCAAGTCTTAATGCATCATATGAAGCTATTCAAAGTCTCAAACCGCCGAACGAAATGTTAAATCTCAAAACGACCGATCAGGTCGTTACAATCCACCTATAAGCCTGACCGGATATCGGTTCGGTTCCATGACGTGGAAATAACGGCTAGGAGAGAAAAGGAAAAAGGTTAAAAAAAGTTATGCCTTAATTTTTGAGTCACGTGGCATCTAAAAATTGTGACAAGTGGCACGCATTTCGAAAGATACAATCACCCCGAGTCAGTTCTTCCGCTATTCCGATTATACGGTTCGAAACCCCACGTAATCGTAACCGGCGAGATACGCATGTGACACAGATACTACCAATAATGGCTAACTGTAATACTCGGGAGATGGTTACACTTTGTATAATAGTAAAAATATTCCTACCCCCAAACTACAATCGCCATTTAAAGCTTAAGTAAACTTCTGTTCAACCTTGTAAATTATTCAATAAGAGATTCTGGCCATTCTCACTTTTACTTCAATTCAATTTCTACTCATCTTGCACTTAATAGTTGTTATTATCATCTTTTTCTTGCCTTATATTAACAAAGATCAACTTAATTATATTTATTCAATTGCTTGAGGCGTAACTTTACAAATTTAATTGGTTTAGCCTTTCAATAAAATTTTAGGGTAAACATAAAATAATATACATATTCTCGCAAAACTTATTAAGGTATCATTTATGAGAAACAAAAATAACAACTAAACAATGCGTTAATTAATGCTAAATCTCCTCTTTAGACCAACCAAACGGTCCTTACCTTTCCGATAACAAAACAAAGTTTTTTTAAGAACAGATTATTTGTTATTTTGTTTTCGAGTTTATATTTTGTTTAATACCATTCTAACTTGGTTGACTCTTTTTTGCTTCCAATATTATATCTCTAAATTCTTGTACTAAATCTAATATTTATTCTTCCTTGTCTGGATCAAATTCTTCTAAATATTCTTTTATGATTAATTTTGATATCTATCTTATTCTTCAAAATTCTTCGGTGATATTTCTATTGTTCTAGTGTTTTCTCTTTTCTCTTTTTGTTTTATTATGCTCCATTTGTTCGGCTATCCTTACTCCTTTAGCTTCTGCATATTTCTTTCATTTCTTCTTGTAACATTTTTTGGCTTAACTCTATATGTATAAACAAACTTTTTATATTCTCATTCTGACTTTTATACAGATGAATTTTATAGATGTTTTTTAATAAAATCTCATTAACATACTATCACGCTGGTTGTAACTCTTGCTATGATACCAATGACTTTTAGAATTTTTCCAAAAAGATCTCATTAATACACCATTACACTATATGTAATTCCTGCTCTAATACTAATGACCTTTTAAAGAAGGCTAAATTTTGCAACGTATCTTCTTTTCTTAATGGTGTGTCTTCTTGGTCCTTCAAATCGCAAATGGATTCTTGATTTGACAGCTTCTTTGACGGGTCTTCTCTTTCACAAAATAATTTCAAAATTTTGGTTGTCATCTTCTTCGGACTTTATCTTAGTTCTTTCGAGTTGTGTTTTCCTTTCCATCTCCCTTCCTTATATAGGAATCTGATTAGTAAGCTAGACTAATTTTTTTTAGGTGGAAAAATCCAAACAAAATATTGTCAATTGAAAAATAAATAAATAAATTCAGAGTTGATTGTATGCATTTCAGTTTATAATATCATTGTAGTTTTCAGACCCTTTTTACTACTTCATCTGTTTCAATTATGTGACACACTTTCTTTGTTAATCCGCTATACATTTTTATATTTGGATATAGATTTAAATTTAAACTTTTTATTTTATTCATTTTATTCTTAATGAGAAACTTTTATAGTTATACAAATTGTAAGTCGCACAAATGCTTTTACCCTTTACAAGGAACTTTGCCACCTAACCATGATTGTAATGAGATAATCAAGAATCAAGGATAACATCCTGAAATCTGTTCAAACTCCAGAGATAATCAAGAATGAAATTTGTTCAGACTCCAGGACATGACTTCCCGTTATATAAGTAGTTGTTCTACAATTCTTGAGTGAAGTAGAGCAGGAATAAGTGCAACACAACTGAAAAGACGATAATGTCTCAATCCTAAACTAGGTGAAGTTGATATTCATTATTATGAGGATTCAGAATAAGTTGAGTTTAACGCTATATATAAACATACCACAACTCATCTCGTTCTCTAGCTTATAACCAACAAGGTGAAGCTCAACACAAATCAATGGACAACCAACCATAATACGCATGCATTATTATCACAGCTATTACAAAATGAAAGAATAGATGATTTCATTCTCGCAGCTATATCTTTTATTGCACACTTTCTAATAGATTGACTGCAGATGTCCAATCAGATCCTCCTTTTGTCTCAGGTTAGTTCTTGAACGCCTATGCACAACAAAATGAATGATCAAGATCCAAAATAGCATTCACATCTACGTGGAAAGATTTCTCATTCCTCTTATACAAACATTAATATCACAAGCATATTGAGCAGTCATAAAGTTGTGGAAGTGGGAAAAGTCAGCCAAATAAAAAAATTGTTCGACGATTTTACAACAAAGAATCAAACATGTGAACTATCGATTCAGTACTATTACAGGTTTACAAACATTTCTGTAAATTCCTGCAGGTCCTTCAGAACACTATGTACAGTATTTTAGTCGCTGCAGGTCAGTGTAGATTTGTATACTATAATGGCTATATTTTCCAGTAACCGCGATCAAAAGAATGAATAGACTGTGCTGACGAATATTTGTATGAATCATAGGCTACCTGCTACTTTCATCCACGGCTTCCTCTCCTCATTTTAACTACAAGAAGCTGCATTTGCTCCCACCTTTCAGAAACAACTGAATGAGTTCTATACCCCTATTCTTCATTGGGTTTTTCAAGTGGTCGTGTCACTTATGTGTGTCTGAGAAGATGATGCTGCTCTGATGTTCAAGAACAGCCTTAGTGGGTGCTCGACTTTTCAAAATCATTTCTTCATACTCATCATCGGGGTCTGAAAGAGCTGTAATGGCTCCCCCTGCTCCTACTGAAGCTTCTCCTTCGTGTATGACAACAGTCCGTATCACAATGTTGAGATCAAATGCTTGGTTATAAGAGAAAAATCCAATGCAGCCCGAGTAGATGCCCCTGGAACAATTTTCAAGATGATCAAGAAGTTCCATCGATCTCAACTTTGGTGCACCTGTCATTGACCCACCAGGAAATGCAGCTCTAACACAATCAATTGCACTTACGTCTGATCGCTTTTTCCCCCGAATCGTACTGACCATGGTGTGAACTGTTGCATAGGATTCGATTTCCATGAGATGTGGGACATGAACAGAGCCAGGCTCACACACACGCCCGAGGTCATTCCTCAACAAGTCAACAATCATCAAATTTTCCGCCTGATCCTTTTCACTGTGACAAAGCATACAGAACTTGGTCAGGATTAGTAAGCATGAGTTCTGTTCCAAGACAACTTATGACACAAATCATACAGCCACCAGATGGTTCAGAAATACAATTTCAAAACTGAATATAGAAGTTAAATAAAGAACTAAACAACATAAGCACAAAGGAAAGGTGGCTGACGGCAGAGGCGGACCAAGGAATTTAATGCGACGGGGGCACAATATTCTATTTAATCAGTGCCCCCTAATGGCTTTTAGCATTAAGGGTGCCAAGAGATTTAAATTAATCATTTTCAAGGTATATACATATACATATACAAGATTTCTGTCGAAGTTTACGGGGTCCGGTGACCCCTCAACCTAAGCCATAGGTCCGCCTCTGGCTGACGGGATGACCCAACCAGTATTAGAGGCTAAAAAGCATGTATATAAGTGCGAGAGTTGAGAAGAACTAACAACAGCATAAAAGACTAGAACGTCTGGCAGAAATGAAGTTTAGACATGAAAGGAAAACATACTATATAAGATAAAAGGTAACACAAGTCAATAGTCAGAAAGCTTCCTGAGGAAAATAAGTGTCAGCGAGAATTTGAGTATTAGATGCTACTATTATGATCCTTCGATTTCTGTACCTGTATTCTAATTGCAGTTTCAGAAATTCATCTTCTTTAGGGGTGGAACCACGAGCTATAGTCCCTTTTATGGGTTTTGCTTCCAGAATTGCATTCCTATCCAATCGTAGGAACCTTTCAGGAGAAGAACAACATATGCTTAGGTCTTCCCTTGAAAAATTAAGCCAGGCAGCATATGGTGCGGGATTTCTTTCTCTGAGATTAAGATAAAGTCCCAGAGAATCTATTTCCCCCAATTTCATTCTCATCTGGGTTGTAAGGCACAACTCATAACTTTCTCCTTCTTTTATGAAATCTTGACAATTCTTAACGTCTTTGATGTACTCCTCTCTTGATTTCTCAGCAGAAAAACCTGACATTAGTTGGACCACTGCCGATCCTCGAGATGCCCGTGATTGCAACTTTTTCGTCATAGAAGCTCTCAAGTCGAGCAGCCTCTTCTCCACATCGTCCAAGTAAGAAGTACTAGTTGTGCTCACATCGTGTAGTGACAAAGTATATATGTCGTCACACTGATGATCGATGACAATAATATTATCCGTAAAGAATAAACAAGCATCTGGTGCCTTCGATCTATGACGATTAGATGCCACGCCACATTCAACTTTGAGATCATACCTGTATCGAGAAAACCACAAGAAGATCAAGTCATGAGAAAAAATTCTTCCTCCAAACGCACATGCAAAAATGAAGAACCAAGTTTAACAACCCAACCTCCTAGAGATTAACTATATTTGAGTCCTACCCAGCAAGTTTAATGCTTGATTTAATTTGTCATAAAACTTAACAATGACAGAAAGGACAGAAAACCAGACATAGCCATATCTACATGAGCAGATGACATTTCTCATGCACCCGTCCAATTTATTCAACTTCTCTTACCCCCTACATGCAGCAGTGAATGTTTCAAGGAAAAGAAGGAAAGAAAACTTCCAAACATACAAAGCAAATCCTTGAAACATTTAGAAGTACTTAACAGAATAGAGTAGGAGGAGGATTCAGATTATTTGTCATAAAATCACGACATACCCGATATAACCAATGTAACCACCATAAAAATCAAATGGTAATCCTTCATAATCCTTCTCATCGAAACAAAATGATAGGAGCTCCTGGTGCAGAGATATAGGACCAAATTAGAATACTCATGTGCGAAATAATCCTCAAAAATATTCTTCCAAACANCCTCTCCTGAACACAGAACAAAAAGGAGCTCGAAATTATACTTGAATAAAAATGAACCATAAGTATAAATACAAAGAAAACAGCCATTGCTTACAAAATTTAATAAGACATCAGATGGAACAGATTTTCTAAGAAGCCGAAGATATTGGAAAACATGTTATTTTATTGCCCGCAGTCAACTTGTTAATGGGAATATCCCACGATAGCATTTCATCTGCTTGTCTTACCCCAATTTACTAAGGACTGTGACATTGACTGATGTGGTGATTTTCAATTTCAGTGACACATATTGAAAGAAATCGTCAGAAACTACCTTATTCATATAATCAAAAAATCCATCTTCCAAAAATGTAGTTTTAACATGGCCATTAGCATCTTCAACTGATAGATCACCTCCTTTACACGTTATGTCACTGAAAATATAAAGCAACATGTTATTGAAAAATGATGTAGCATTCAAGCAGAGATCAATTGAGAAATGGAAAGATCTAAAGTAAGGCACTCAGGAAATATTTGAAGAGATTTTCACCTGCGATTTGACAATCTAAACGTAAGTTGCTTCCAGAGTGAACCTCCTTTTCCCCCCATAAAGGAAAATCTAGCCCTTCCCTGAATACCAAAAGCTGTATCATGGTTAGAAAGGGAAAAAAAAAAAGGAAGAGAAAAAGAACAGCAAAGTAGCCAACCTCAAAAAAAGAATTCAACCGATGAAAATGAGAATTCACAAGAATAATTCTTTTAACCTACCCTCTACATTTCATTTGATAAACCAATCAATAAAAACTACCATAAGAAACTATTGAATCTGATTTTCTTGCTTTTAAACTGACACAAAAGTGGCAATAGCTTATTTTTTCTTCTTCTT